ACACGCAGCACACCCCTCCCAGCACAACCTGCACAGCACAGCCTGCATCTCCCTCACAGCACAACCTGCACAGCACAACCTGCACAGCACAACCCTCACAGCACAACCTGCACAGCACAACCTGCACAGCACAACCTGCACAGCACAACCTGCATCTCCCTCACAGCACAACCTGCACAACACAACCTGCATCTCCCTCACAGCACAACCTGCACAGCACAACCTGCACAACACAACCTGCACAGCACAACCTGCATCTCCCTCACAGCACATTCACCAGTTTCACTGATAATGCAAAAAAAGAGTTTCTTCCAAAGCACCAGATTGAGAGAATCGAGGATTCAACTGGACTCAGTTTATAACATCTTTGAGCTCAGTAGAAATTATTAGTTCACACCAACCAAGATCAGGAGGGCATCTGCAAGGTTTGACTGATCTCAGGGGCAGAGTTGCTTTATTTTCTGGATAGATTGTTCCCACTTATCTTCCCCAGCAGCCAAGCTGTACTTTCCCTCCTGAGCTGGACAAACAGCTGCTCAAGTTTACATTTGTAATTCTGTATAAACAACAATAAAGGACAAAATTGGTAATGACCAAATCCAATTTTGCACTGATGAACTGTACAACAAAGAAACCCTTGCAGGCACCTGTGGTTGCTAGAATTATTTTTTTTTGCCTATTTTTTTATTGCCAAAGATAGATTTGGAGCCAATCCTTCTACCATCAAGATCAGTCAGTGTGTCCTATGAATGATCCACAAATATCAGTTAGCTCCACACTAAATCCATGCACATATACATTTGTGTGTTTATGTCTGTATTGACCTAATGCTGATAAAACCTAACTTATAAGATAAATGAACAGCACTGCCTAAAATTAAAAATGATTTCCAGTTTTCTTGTAGTGGAGAGGATAAATATATCCAAGATGTGCTCACCTTTCCAAGGGTATCATCCAAGTTCATATTAAACAAAGGTTTTACAATACTTGCAGTATCTTTGTGTTGAGATGAATCCCATGTTTGGTCTTTTTGCCTTTTTTTTCCTCTTCCCCATTCCCAGGGGATGTAAAGAAGACACTGTGCTGCCCATCAGAGGAGGTGACAGCAGGTGACATATCCCCTTTAGAAAAATAATAATTCCTATTAGAAATCAGCCAGAAGGTGTGTCTTTAGGATAGAAAACTTTATTAATAAACACACAACTGTTTTTTCAGTATGATGAGGCTGGGAAGCTGTGTCAGTGCCTGCCCCACAGCCTGGAACAGTTACACAGACACCCCACCCTGGAACCCCAGTGCCAGGACATCTGCCTCACTCTCACTTTAACCCAGCTTTTTTCAAGTCCTCTGGCAGAACTCGGCCCTTCTTCCGAGCCCTGGCTTTCTTCTTCTCTATCCTCTCCTTCTTCTTCTTCTGGATGTTCTTCTGGCGCTTATCCTGCCGCTGCTGCATCTTTTCCACCACCCTCACAGTCCGTTCCTCCCACTGCCTCTTGCGCTGGGCCTTCCGCTTCTCCTTGCGCTTCAGGGCCTCCTTCAGACGCTCCTCGTCGTCACGGATCTTCACCCCTTCTGCCTTATAGAGAGCATTTGTCCATTTTATCTTGGTCTCCAGCTCCTGAGCTTTCTTCTCATCCTTCTCCTTGAGCTCCTCCAGTTTATTCTTCCTGGTCTCCAGCCTGCTCAGCAGCTGCTTGTAGTTCTTGCCTGTCATAGGAGTG